TCCCCAACATTCTGTGATTCTGTGAAAAGTGACAGCTATGGCAGAAGCATCCTGGCTCTTTGTAAAGACTGACAAGGAGGTGGGAAATTGCAATCACTATTAACTTATATGTTGAACTTATTGTTTGCTGTAGTGGGCCATACTATATCTTGTTGTTTCTTAGACTAATTTGTGTAGAACTTTTTACTGTGGTTTCACATCAGTCACGATAAAGTCCCTCTAAGCTCCCATGTATACACTACCCATCTTCACAATTGCCATGGGACTCCCCATATGAGAGTTCAGTGGGTATAAGCAGCAGAATTGCCAGCTATCATCAACAGAAGATTAGAAAAAGGCAAAACAAGGATGTTTTAATAGTCCAGTTCAAACGGAACCCTAAACCTTGCATTTAAATATGGCTAACATACAATTGAACTATCTTTGACAGATGATGACTTAGTACCAAGTCTTTTATAAGACACAGAGGAGGGATAACCATGGTTAGACATTACATCTCTGCTCCCTGTCCCCAAATACACGTTGTAGAACAGGTACAGAAGAAAGCAGCAGGTAGAGCTGGTGTGGTATACCAGGGGAATAGCTTTAGGCTGCTGTAGTGTTAAGCCTTCAAAGGAGTCGGTTCGTTGTCTTTTGCAAGATACTAGAATATAGTTACTTGCTGCTTGGATTTCTGGACTATAGCTAACTTTCTAAAGTAGCTGCTAATGCACATCCCTTATTGTAACTTGTAACATAGGATCTATTTATAACACAACTACTCTGAAAATGGTTCCTTAAAGTGAGCATTACTTAAGGGGTCTATAGCTTATTTTGGAAGGCTGCTAGTTTCCATGGTGCTACCCCATACACTGTGCAGGGGAGCATTGCAAACCAAGCAGTCAGAGACCCCACCCTAGGAGGCTGCAGTTTGAATAGGCAGCAAGCTGACAGCTGAGAGAGGGAGAGAGAGACAACACAAGCAATCAAGGAAATTCCAGGGAGAGAGAGAGGTGAAGAACAACATTAAACCAAATTCATCTACTCTTTAGCAGGACACATTCTTTTAGTTAAATCAGATCACCCGATTTAGCTGAAAGTATTAATTATAAAATGAGTAGATAAGTAAGCTTTAACAACATAAAGAAGGAGCTGTATTTGAGTCATCTTCAAATCCAAGTTTTCTATTTCAGTTCAGTTGCATGTTTTTATACTTAATGTCATGCTCATTTTTATTTTTAGGGAAGTTTCCACAGAGAGTTAGAGTGACAGCCATTTACACTGAGATCCTGTCAGAAGAGTAGCCAATACTGTGTGTTCAAGAGAAAGGAATAAACACCTCTCAGTCTCGCGTCTCTGGCTACACGTGCTAAGAAAGGCAGCAAGGCATCACCAATTAATTTTCACCAAGAGAAGCTAGTGGTAACGTTAGCAGAGATTACCTTAGTTTCAGAGTGGTGTATCTTTAAGTTGCAGTACTCATCCAAATTTTTGGAGTAGTACATCTGAACACAGAGCTGAGAGGGCATTCCCACGTGTGGGGACATTAAGCTAAAGATCACAATAACCTTCCAGACAGAGGAAAAAAGGAGGTGGAGGAGAAAGCAAACACAGAGTATCTTTTTGTACTGGTTACAGAAGCAAAACAAAAATGTATTTGCTATGTTGGCAGAACACAAGACAGGCAAGGGAGGACGGGAAAGATAAGGGCCTACATTTGTGTACTGCTCTTTTGAGGCTTGTTTGTGGAGAGGGGCTTGCTCAGCACATAGAAAAATGTATACTCATGAGACAGAGGAGTTCGGAAGGTTAGGAATGGAATGTACCAGTGTGCAACCCTTGTGCCCAAGCAAGAAAGCGTTTCAAGAAAGTATTTCACAAACAAGAAGTTCCAGAATGAGCAGTGAGTGCACAAAGAAAATATTTTTCTTTTTCCTCCTCGAGAAGACATCAGTGCATTCTTGGGTCAGAGAGTAACAATTCCTTCTTTAGTCTTGTGTGCTCGCACTCTCTCTCTTTTTTTTTTAAATATAATTCAGCTCATCTCTTAGCAACAACTTTAGGCACTAAAGGAATCTGGCTTCTTATTCTATTGTAAAGCATAAGCCCCTTTTGTGTCAGCTTACGTTGTTCCAAGCACAGAAAAGCTGGGGGGGGGGTTTGCCTCTCCTCCCAAATACCTGCCACTTTTGTAGGATAAATGGAACTTAACTTTCAATCTCATAGCTTATGAAAACATTTTTTAATCATTCTTTGTCAAACCAGCTAGCTTCACAGCTATATTTCCTTCTCCAAACAATCTTCTTTATGATTAGGGGATTGCCTATGGCCTATGAGAGTGTAGGTTTTTACACTGTTATAACAGTTAGCCTATGCATATAGGAGTACAGATACAACAAATCACAGAAATCCTTGCTCTAGATCAGGTATATCACATTGGTATGAAATATTTCCTATCCAGACCAACTGTGTTCCTAACCCCTGAGACAGACTGTTACACCAAACTATATGGCTTAGTTCAGCCTGAATTTTCTTTATTGGACGGGGAGTGGCGATTCACAAGAGGCAAGGAGATGGGAGTCAATACTGCTGTCAGACCTATCATTTTAAATTTTGTTCTTAATTGCAGTTATTCGTTGTCTATGCTGGCATAAGCAATAAATGTATCAAAAACCTCCCACAATTAGATACCAATATATTGTAAAACAGTGTATCTTTATTGACCATAATGGAACAGTTTTGTTTTCCAAAGTACTGAACCTAGTTCCAGTTAAGTGACTTTAAAATGTTATAAAAATAGAGCAGATGGGTTCCAGAAGTAATAATAATTTGTTTTTAAAACCTAGTAGTCCAGTGTTGTCTGGAAAAGCATTTCATGGGTCCAGTACAGATATTACTGATTACAGAGAGATATCAGCAAGCCCAAAATGGAAAGTATGCAATTTTAAAGCCATATATCTTCCTATGTCTTGCCAGTTTGGCACTTTCTTTGACATCATATAAAACATTATCAAAGAAACCAAATAAAAGCACAGGTCATCTGGTCACACTTTTCTTGCAGTATAACAATAGGGAAATGATACTTTGAGTGGGCCTCTCTCAGAGTCACTCTGGGTAAACACTGTCCCACATCACACAAACTTCCACTGAGGAGACCAACACTAGAATTAGTATGAGAAGCAAAATTATATCTTTCCTTAAAGGAATGTGTTCCAGCTTATCAGAGCAAAGGTCTCTGGCAGGACAACGTGGCTTAAGTTGTGGTTCCCCACTACTTACTTGCAGACAGGCTTCTAAACTCGAAAAACAAGAGTGTGGGGAAGGGATAAAAGTATCAAAGTCCATAATTTTTTTCTTATTCCCCATCTCTCTCAAATGCAAAATAGGGTAAAAGCAGGGCCTGCTTCATGTTAGCAGAATCACACAACCCAGTGACGGCTGACACACCCAACAGCTAAATTTCTTCCCCAGATAGTCCAGACTCACAGTTTTAAGTTCAGGGACAACACAGATAGAAATGAACGCAGAAGTTGACTATAAAAAAAAAAAAATAACAGAGGATAACCCATAGTTTACAATGCACAGAAAAACAACCCAAAACCTCAATAATCCCCACAAAATCTCACAACCCAACACTATTATTTCTCCTGCTTTCATTCTGAGTGGGGAATGTATCAGTTTAGGGATTGTTCTCACATACATAAGAGCAAAAGGTCTGATATGTTGTCCCATAACGCAACCAAGTCCCCTTTTGTGAATCAGGATAGCTCTTCAGCCTCATTTTAGTGCCCATAACACACCACATACAGTACTGTAGATTTTTATAGAGCTTCTCCACAGCTGACACAATGTTATCAACTGCTTCCAGATGCAGATGTAAGAGCTACATTGAATTTCTTTTTAAAATTAATGAACTTCAATTTTTTGTCATTGTAAATGTAAAAAAACCCTCTGAAATTCTGGAGAGAGACAAGCAAAATACCAAACAGAAGCCCAGTTTCTTCAATTTTCCCAAGGAACACTTGTGTGAGATATTTGCAACATGCCATGAACAAGGGAGGCCATGCTGTGTCTGTCACTACCCTGGCCACCTGCTCCAAGTGACTGAGACCCAAGTTGTTAGGTGGCCCCAGCTGTCCATCTCTTGTAGGTGTCAGTGGAAGCACTACTCAGGAACTTGACCCAAACTGCCCATCCAATTCACCCTTCTCGTCCTCTCTTTCTCTGTTCATAAATAGACAAAGCAAAGACTATGGATTAACTCCAGTTTTGATTGTACAGAATTAATGCTATTCCTAATTTAATATGTGAACCCCAGTGCTAACAAGATCTTCAAATCTGAATGAGCATTTTTTATGCCACGGCTGTATCACATTCCACACTCTTCTTTCATTAGCTTCCTCCACAACCTCAGGACAGATTTGGATGTTTAATAGATTTAAGTTTAATCTATTATACTGTTTACTCACTCCCAGAACACTGACTTTCAGTTAATTTTCTTTATTTTGTTAAAAAAATTTCCTTTTTCCTTTTCTGATATTTGGAGGTTTTTAGTGCCAAGTTTATATTATAGGGCACACTGAGTACTAAAGGAGTGGAAACATTTTTCATCTATAACATACTTCATTGTGATTAGAGAGATAAACCTCATAACTTTTTGATGTCCTAAAGGTACCATTGCTGTTTAACTACAGTGCACTTTAGAGACTGCAAGCAGAAGAATTTGGTAGCCAATAGTAGAGATGCTGTGCTTTAGACAACTGTTCTTAAGTTTTTAGATGTCTCAATTTCCTTGCCCAGCCCAAGGTGGTATATTCACACATTGACTATTTATACACACACCTGGCTGTGGCCTGGCAAATCACAGTTCTAAAACATAGTGCAAAGTAACGGTACACACTGCAAACAAAACAAAGGTTGATTGAAATCCATTGTCAAGGATTCATTTGTCATTCTGTCAAAGTCTAAAGGAAAAACAGAAGTGCTTGTGAGATGCTACTGTAATTTCTCAGGCGATTACATTCAAATACAGAAGCCAGGTTTCAAACACTGAAGCAAGACAGGGGTGTGAAGGCATTCTCACTTCAACTAAACTGTTCAGAGTATGATTCAGCATATAGTGCATTACAGCTTTTAAAATACAAATGGAGATGCTATTTCTAATGAGAAGTAATAATTACTGCCGTTTAGTAGCAGTGTTCATACTCAAAAGACTCTGAAACAGGCCCCAAATAAGTAAAGTCAAGCTTAAAACTAAATTATTGTCATATGGCCACAATCTAAGCTAAAGCTTGTGTCAATGATTGTGGGAAAAAGGAACAAAAAACCCTATACATGAAGAAATTACAGCTGTGGTCTGGAATACACATGAAGCAGTTTTCTGCAGCTCAATGAAAAACAATCACTCTTAAAGAAACAAAGCAGCAGAAATAGTGGTGTTCAAGTGGCATAACACCCTACATTGGACATATTTCATTTGTCTTTTTGGTGAGTGATGACTAGTTAGGCATATTAAGTTTGGCATTTTAAAGGGAAATAATTTGGGAATCTGAAACCACCGCAGTTAACACCCTTGAAGCCTACAGCATTTCCTTTTAACAGAGAAGACCACCATGTCTCTGGAGACAGGAAAAATTATAAAAAATTTAAATGAAGGAGAGTTACATTTGTGGTTTCTGGAATAATTTTTCCAAGGAAAACATTATTTTTGCTAAAGTTATTCAACTTGTGGTTTGGTTGTTTTTTTGTTTTTCTCCTCTCTGCTTCCACAGAGGACTTATATCTTCACTTTCCTATTGAGCTCGCGAGTCTTCATTCACCCACATGAGCTCCTGGCTAAAGTGGGACAGATCTGCATTAAACAGAAGCAGCAGCTAGAAACGGGGACTGAGGCAGAAAAGGTAAGTGAGTGATTATATCCTTCAGTTAGCTGTGCTACTGTCCTTTATTTCCCACTCTGAGCTAAATAGATTGGTAAAGAGTAAATTGAAATTGTAAATGGTGTGTGTTACTGGATGCACTTTTACTCGGGTCTTTTTCCTTGAAGCACTGTTGCTTCTTTGGTAGCCACAAACATAGGTTATATACTACTTCACCAGCTGGATACAGTGGCTGGAAAAATAACTTTGCTCATGAGCTGCAGGTTGGTGCTGTGCACTGGAGTGGTGTGTATCTGCCACGAAACCTGCCCAGCAAGTCGCTTTGCACTTTTGGGCTTTCACCATTGGGTCTTTAATCCGATTCTCCTTTCTCCAGTCACCCTCACCATCCTATTAGAGTTGAGTGCTCTGTTGTAAATTATTGGTGGGGTGTTTTAAGTTGGTGTAACAGGAAATCAGAGTTACCTCTCACAAAAATCAAGGGATGCATTACTTAAAATGGTAGTCTGTGCTGATACGTGACTATGTGGTTTTACTACAACCAATTAAACCAAACTGGGTCAGTTTATGCACTTAAATATGCACTTAAATCCATTTAAGTCTCACCTTTATGGGAAGTATGTATTGAAGGGCTTTTAACTGAAATTGAAGTACCAGAATAGTCCAAGCTGGAATGCAAATAAGAGCAACAGAAACAAGGATGAGAAAAGCAATATTTAAAGACCTAAATTGTTCAAATCCTGGGCATGTTTTGGATCCATTCTTCCATGGTCAGAAATTACATGCTCACATTCCTAATATTCAGCATGTTGATAGTCCCATTTTGTTTTCTCCTTGTATCAGGTCTCTGAACAGGGAGAACAAAAGGGAGACCTGTGGTTTGGCAATGCAGAGTTTTTGTCAGCACTACTGACCTAAGGGCTTCTTTCTCCCTTACTATTCCTGGGGTGCAGTCTCAAGTCACAAAATTACTCCACAGGAAAAGCTAACCACTTGGTACAGAATTACTTTCATCCAGGTCAGCCCCCTGATCTACTCACCAAATAGCTCTATAACTCATGATGTAGGTGCTGGGGAATTCAAGGGGTCAGGGAAAGAAGGTGCAAAAGCCTCTGCATCTGGCTTTATACACAGAGGTGATAACCATTCCCATCGCCACTGCCAAACTAGTCCGTGACTGAGCAGCCTACAACTGGTGAGTTGTAGTGATTCCTCAGCAACACGTAACTAAACAACAGAGGTATGAACTTGCAAAAGATGCTAGGACCATCTGAAACATGAAATGAGTACAGCTGATATGTAGACCTATAAAGAGGAAGACTGTTGTCAGTAGCTAGCGTCAAAATACCTATGTGAAATACTTGGATTTAAAAATAATAGGATACAAGATGAAACTTGTGAGTACATTTAGAAGATTTTAAAATGAAAACAGTATCTGGGGACTAAATCACCTGACTGTTTAAAGATATTAGTTGTAAAGTAGTATTATTCTGGCTTTTCAGCAGATGTGTTAAAAAAATCATGGCTTCCACATTGAAATGAAGTAGCATTACATCCTAAGAACAAGATGTAAAATAGAGCAGCTCATATTCCAGACACCCACACTCTTACACCTTCTGCTGACAATTTGGAAAAGGGCCTACAGGAAAACCAGCAAACAGCAGGGTGCCAATAAAACATGAGTGCTTGGGAGGCTGCTT